AGAAGATCCAGGCAATCTGGGAGGGCCCACAGCGAATTGGCCAGGAGCCTATGTCCTACTGGGCCAGTTTGGTGCAATAATCACTGAAGGATCACTGAAATACCCTCCATCTCGATCTTGTTGAGCAGGCCAGGGAGAAGTCTGAAAGGTCAAAAGGCGCAGATCACATGGTACTGATCCCACTGAATAACCAGCGCATCCGCTGCAAAGGCAGAGGATCCCAGGTCCTGGCCAAAAACCTGTTCAGTTTATTACTGAATCCAGAGGCCAGAAGGTCCATATCAGGCAGACCACGTGGGGGGGATCGTCCTCCCATGTCCATGCGTCGATGGCCTGCCAATTTTTCACACCCCAGGAATGTGAACGGCAGTTAGAGCTAGACCATGAAGTTGTGCCAACAGCAGAATTAGATCTGCTTCTGTTTGAGCTGCGCAACTTCTGGTGCCCCCCTGATGGTTGATATACGTCACAGCTCTGGTGTTGTCCACCTGAGTCCTAGTTGGAAGACCTTGCAGCTAAGTGATCCAATGATGAAGAGGCAACTGAACTACCCAAACCAGACTTTTCAGACAACTGGAAGAAAGTTTCTCCCAGATTCCACAGCAGCATGGAAATCCACTATGTCAGGGCAAGCCCGGATTAGCTGGTCAAGGAGCTAGGGGGATCTCAAAAGGAGGATAATGACTCAGACTGGGGATAGTTTGTTGACCCACTACTCTTGCCTCTGTGATCCATGATATGTGGTGAAGGATATCCCACTAGGGGTACTCACAACCATTGCTGCAGAGCAGGAAGGGTTTAGCTTACTGTGATCTGTCATTGTAGGCAGCTGATATCCGGGCATGCCCATGGATCACTGCTTGTCAGGTTGATAGACAGGGAGCAGAGAGAGGAGCGGGTTTGCACACATCATGGAAGAAAATGGTGTGCACATGCATAGTACGGCCTCTGAGGAAGAGGCTGCAAAGCCACAGTAGTACTCTAGGTTTGGATCCCAGCAGCTCGGGAAAAAAGGGCACCAAATTTAAAAAGTGGTACAGCAGACCAGCTCCCACCGCTGTGACTGAATGTGTCGCACCCAGAACTCAACAGTGTAACCCCTTAGGGGCTGGAACAACAGCACACTGGGGACCAGATAAGGCAGAGGCTTGACTTACCACCAATATCAGTGGTTTCTCCCAGTGCAGCTCAGGTGATTAAAAAAACGAAGTGTTATTGAGATCTTCGCCCTCAAAAGAGCAAATACTCCCTACGGGGTCTTCAGGGACAAGACTCAACTAGCAGATGGATCATGGCCCTGGATCTATATTGCATCCTGCAGCTAACTTATCCCATTGCACTACATTACTAGGACTCACTATAATATTCTCTCCCACCAGTTGAAGGATGGAAGTGACACATGAGCAGTGAAATACTTGTTCCCTTTTCTCACAGAAAGAGGAATGATAGATGCTCAAACACAGTTGGAAAATCTGCATGCAGTAACCAAAACGTCTGACAATGGCAAGCGCCAATTATCTCCACTAGGGAAAATTTACATCCTCTGTTCTCACCTAACCCTTACTAATACATGAACTGGGTTCATCGCTTGAAAAGCCACCTTTACTCATCTTAAGAACCATACTGTGGACTGGCACAAAAGGCAGCATTGTCATATTTGGGATCGTAAACGATCTCTGCAATGCCCTTAGCCTTATTTGATAAAGTGCAAAACACTGCCTAGTGTTACTGGTTTACACAGGGCTTGTAAATGCCTACAAGTATTGCTTTCAGCAATTATTCAAATGTTGCCTTTTAGGTTTGTTACACAGAAATAATAATAGCCACATAATATTGCCGAAATTATGTACAAGATTGTTTATAAAAGAAGCAGTAAGTCACAAATCCTAAATTCACTCAGTCAGGAATTGTGCTTCGTGCTACAGAAATGTATTCACGTCATTTAAAAAGCCTAATGTTCTCGAAATCTTGAGTTTTTAGAAGGAAAATGTAAAAAGGAGTTTGGCAGAAGCCTAAGCAGAAACATTTGCATTTCATTTGTGTATCATAATCTATCTTATCTTGCAGTAAACTGACAATGAGCTGCAAACTGCAGAAGGCATCAATGCTAAAGAAATGCACTACACTTAGAAATAATAACATCTCTGGGAACTCATCTGTGACAAATGTCAGCGAAAAAAAATTCTACTGTTAAACCACTTATGTGCGTTATTCACTACAACTACACAAACAGAAAAAGCATGAGTGATTATGCAGTAAATGTCCTTCTTTAAAACAAGAACTATGCGCTAATAAACGTATTATAAACGGTCCATGTTTCCAGCTAGTTAGACTGCAATATGCACTCTCAGACTGCATACCTGAACATTCCCTGGTTATACACTGCATGTATATTGACAGACTGTATCTAGATTTTATACCTATTCAATTCAATAAAAGCAAAAGCACATAACCAGGAACTAAACTCTGGATGTTGTGTCAAAAAAAGCACGCACAAAAAAAAAAAACTGTGGTCTACCTACAGCTGATCTTTCTCCATTACTGAACTACTATGCCCTGTTCAGTGTCTCTGTATATAGATGGTTATCCTGGTAGAGGCATGGCCCTGCTTCCTCATGTCAGAGTCTCCAGAAAGGAGAAGAGCAAGCGCCACAGTAATGACTAAGAATGTATGAGGGTTGGTGTGAACCCAGTTTGCTGGTGTTTGCCCAAGCCTGCTCAAATCTATGACTGACGCACCAACTCCTTGCCCAATCATTTGTGTCACCCCTTTGTGATGTGTAGCTGTGGGACAGGAAATGCTCCTGACACAACTGATTGCACGGGGGGGATGGGGGTTTGTCAGTGAAAATTCTGTGCAGGTTTGAGCTAACTGACAAACTGGGTTCACACCAAGCCCCCTCACACCATTAGTAATGGCAAGTATTACTCAAAATCTTCTGTAACTATCAGTAAGAGGCAGCAGTGCCTTAGGTCTCACACTGCAGCTATACAGTTTTGAGGCTGGAGGAACAAGAGTGCCCAGGCACAGTCACATACCAGGAAGTGGCACTGCCATTTTTCAGGAGGAATTCAAAATAATTGCTTGGACACAGTTACTTCTAGATGTCCCATATAACATAGCAAATGTTTTACTTTTAGAAGTTCAGATCCACTTTAACCCTTTCACTGCCAGCGACATAAGGCATACGGTGCTAGCAGAGGGCACCTGTAAACAGAAGCCTGTTTACCTGTGTAAAGCCAACTGTCATCTTTACACTGGAAGAGATTCTGGCGGCTGAAAAGGCACCATATTGCTTCCAGGGGCTGGTACAATCTGTCTAACAGACTCCTAACGACTCCTTAAATGTGCTATCATATAAGATGCTTTTGAGTCCCCTATGTGATGGTATTATGTTAAAAAAAAAAAAGTTTTAAAAACATGAAGTTAAATAAATGTTAAAATACTCCCCCAAAAAATGTAAAGTCCCCCATCTCTACGCATACTAACAAAAAGCTGCACTGGGTGCTCCTACATATGAAAACAATGATTGTGTCATACATGTTAAGTATCACCAAAAGTACCAGAATAAGCGCAATCATTTCAGGGCTAACAGTCACAGTTAACTCTAAACTGATGGCCTCTACAGGTACATGATGGGTATCTATTTACTCAGCACAACCTCATCTTTTATATTTTACAGTAGAGGGTATTAAATTGTGTTATTGTACGCTAAAATTAAGTGCATCTTTAACTGCAATTTTGGGATTGATAAACAGTTGTGCTAATATCCATGCAACATAAAAATTTGCAACTCCCACCATTTTATTCTCCATGGTCTCTGCTTTTAGGAAATATTTTTTCTTGTTTTTGGAGGGAGGGCAATTAATTTCCAAGTCTAAAATGTGGATTATAAAGTGTGCAAAAAAAAGTCTGGCAGTGAAAGAGCTAAGGCAAGAGAACACCCCTGTTTTATTTTATGGAAGTTCTAGTTTAATCAAAGCCCAGAACAAACTGGGAGATATGGCATAGAGGTACCTTTATTACCATATTATGGAATCACAAGAAAACTGGAGATTTACATTATGGAGCAAATTTGTGCACTTTATGAGCCTTGGCCTGCACTACCAGGATCATTAAGCCTATGATGCAGTGCACGCGAAGCAGCGAGGAGCAGTGGTGTGCGGACCTTCGCGTGCAGTGTGTCATGTCATGTTCACTCCGGCGCGTCAGCTTGCAAGAGCTGAGCATGCCGAGAAGAAAAACCTACAAGTTGTTACACGCGAGCCGATTGACTGAAGATGCAGTCCTTCATCTGGCCGCGAGCAGCTTACACACTGCATGTGAACGTCTGTGCCTCACAGCTTTGCTACGCATGCAGTGCGTCACTGGCTTAATCCCCCCAGAGCATGCCCGCAAAAAAAAAAAAAAACTTTCATTCCAGCATAAGGAAATGCATGGTTGCAAGTGTAAATCATAAACACCAGATGTACACCTAAAATAGAAGTATCTACTAAATTAGAGCTATATTTTAAAAAAACTAAAAAAACAAATACTACACCAAACAGACACAGCATATTTTTCTCTTATATATTCTTACAGGAATTCCACACCCCTGCTGCCCCTCTACTCCCTGCTGCCCCAAGGCGCGGCCTTGGGGGAAATCCGGCCCTGGCTACAATAAACTTTTAAGTGAAGCTCACGTGGTGTGACCGGACTTTTTTTCTCTAAATAAATGCAAATGGCTCCTGGGGCAGCATTTGCAATACTGTCCCACCAACCCTACTGTCTGACCACCCTATTGTTCAAGGTTTTCAATTTACTAATGTACACTGATACACAGTGAAGGGATGCAGACTCTACCAACTAAACACCGGAAATAATCTTGTCCCATGCCAAACCCATAGAGGGTCACCCCTGAGACACAGCTCTAACCTTGCACTGTTCATATGCATGCAGACACACAACTACGGTATCAATATTACTACAAATATTAAAAAAAGACCCCAAAATGACACACCTCATTCTGAAGTTCATCATTGCTTTTAGCAGATGCCAGCATTTCAAATATAGTGTTGCACAAGTCTTCTACTGTGGCCCCTCCAGTGGAACTGTGAGCAGCATATTTCTCCACCTCATCATATAGTAAAGAGCCTTCATCTTCGCCAGGTTTTTGTTGAGTGCTATTAGCAGATATGCCTTGAAAATAGTCTTTCTGGCCATTATGAAATTTCAGGAAGTCTAGGCTAATATCATTATCTGCCTCGATGCTGCCATTTAGTGGCAAATCTCCGCTCTCTTCCAGTTCATACATTTCCAGGGAAAAAATGACATTTTTCCCAAAGAACACTGTATCGTCACTGCTTTTCTCATGAAATTGCTGTGCGAGTTTCTTAAACTGTTCATCAGTCAGCAGTGACACAATTCTATATGTAGCATTGCTTGCTGCTGTAGCACATGTTGATGGAAACGGACCAAACATCTGTTTAATGGCCTTGGTTTCTTCATGACCGACAGTTTCTTTATCGTAGAAGGTCTTAAAGAGAAACATGGCTCCACTTTCAATTGCCTCTTGTCCATGGTCAGTTCCCACTGTAAGAAAAGAAAGCAATCATTTTGCCATTCTGTGTGTGTGTTTATGATTTAAACTACCTGTAAATAAATGTGTGCTGTCTCCCCTGTAATAGCTTAAACCTTTCACTCCAAATCACAAGCACTACAATAAAAATGACAACCTAGGAGAATTACAACCCCAAAGTCACCCTTATGTAAATATTTAAGTCTGAATTATTGAACCAGGGATCAGAAGATTGAAATGCACTTGCTGCAGAACAATCAAGTGAGATTCTCCTCTATCCAGACTAGCCAGGTGAAAAATTACCGAGCTGAATTCACAGCACATCATGAATTTGAAGAATTTGTCTTTAACCAAAAAGTAATTTACCGATCTGTTTTGCAGCCTCTAATATTTCTTTTAGACCCTCGTTTATTGCTTCATGCTCCTTGTCCACAATGCCAGTGACAAATTGAGTTATTTTCTTCCAAGTAAGGTCAGACTCCAAAACTTGTTCACGCAACTTCGATCTTTTGTTCTGTAAAATTAATGCAGTATGGTTAGGAGAAAATGTCTCTCTTCAAACGGCTTCAAAATTAAATGTTTCAAGAGAAAATGTGCAATCAAAGAGAAAGTGAAAGCTTTTCAAAATAACTATTGTCTCAAAATGAAATGACCGCTAGAAGTAGACTTTCCTGTACACTCAAATTGCTATATTGTGATAAACATGTTTGGATCTTGCATTGCTGACAATAATAGGTGCATAAGAAACACTTCGTAAGCAAAAAAAAAAAAAAGTATTATATTTACGATTTTCTACAGGGTAAGAGGTTTTAATGTCGCCTCTGCAGTCTCCAATAAAAGGTAAATAAATTAAATATAAAATTTATAAAAGCCTTTGGGATAGAAAACCTTTCATCCTTGCACTTAAATAATGAGAAACCTATTTTCTTCAGTGAAGCATGATGTAAACACCTCTCTCCATGGTTAGACTATATAAATAGAAGCAATCTTCACAGTCAATTTCTTACAGCTCCCGTAATACGGTGACTGTTGTGACTATGACCCTCCCCTTGTCCATTCACAGAACTCCTTGGGTGGGAATTTATGAAAACTGAAGCAGACAGAATCTGGATCATTTGCCCAGAAAAGCTTTCCTTTTCAGTTTGTTCAATAAAGCTTTGAAAATTAAAATAGAGGCTGACTATGGGCAATTGCTCCAGATTCTGTCTGCTCCAGTTCTGATAAATCCCCCTCCCCCACCTTGTATTTTATGAATGGTTCACAGAATACAATGGTGGTCTCTGAATTTTATATTTTTATAAAATCAATTTGTTGGCCAATAATTTTTTCGATTAATCGAATAAAAAAAAAAAGAATATTTAAATGTTCAATTAATTATTAAATATTATTATTTAGTTAACAAATATTAGTTATTTAAATGACTATTAGTTATTTATTTCATTATTAAAAATATTGATTATTTAATTGAATGTTTCATTATTTAATGGGCATGCCATATTCATTCTTTCTACATAGCTCTCATTCCTGACATAAAGAAAGATCACAGAAAGAACTTGTGCAGAAAGGAGATAATTGGAAAGCGGACTTCTCTCCTGTGCTCCTTTCACCAGGTGCTTTTGTCTGGGGGAATGCGATTGGCTGCACGCTTGAATCCACGTCCTGATGCTCGGAATCATACATGTGAGCCGATTGGCTAGAGATTACATTTTTCCTCTAGCCATGCTCACCCCTCGCCTAGCTTGGCACAGGAAAGGATATTGTTAGACACACTGCATGTGAAGCTCCGCGCACCGCCATTTGCAGTGTGCCCCCAGCACCTCCCCCATCACTGACTCCACCTACTGCATGTGCACACAGACACAGCACAGATACAACACAACGCGCACACACACACAACACACAACACACAGGACCACACCGTCGCCCCCTCCCCGGTTGTTATGCCACTGCCGTGCCTCCCTGCTTACACAGGCTCCCACTCTCTGCTCAACACAGTTCTCGGGCCCTGGTCAGTGTGCCTCCAGTTCCCCCGACATCTCACCTGAATGCTAGGACTCTTTAAATGCAGTTGGGTGAGGTGGGGAGGGTGTGAGGAGCTGAAAGCAGCCCAACTAATAGTCTGCCCAACTAATCGATAATGAAAATCGTTGACAATGATTTTCATTATCAATTATTATTGACTTATGTTGATTATATGTCACAGCGCTAGACAGCTGAAGTGCCTGGTACGTTGTTGATCATGTTCAGCATAACAATTATATACTATAATAAATCATTACGATCATAATACCTTTCTGAGAAAGTAACACAAATTAAATTTAAAAAAGTGCTTTCCACTATAACCTTTAAAAAAAAGAATATAACTTCAATGAAGTAGAAGACTTAAGGTGCATGTGAACCTAAAATATGAGGACAGGTTTGCTTTGTCCCTCTGTAAACTCACAGCAATCTCTACATTGTGTATGAGATGTGGGAACGTCAGAAAATACCTGATGATTCTATCATTCCCCTTAGCAGAGAACCCCTTCCTTTTTATTACTGACAACGCTAGGCACGAAGCACAACCGCCCTAGTGTGGCCATTTTGCGTCTTTTTTTCTGACTTCAAGATGCTGTGCCTGCAGTTATAAAGTCAGATTAGAGCTCTTGAGCTTGCCCACCCACCAGCCCTCCTTAGTTTGAGTGACAGCATTTGCCGTTCGGAAATTACAGCTGCCTCACCCCCATCCAGCTCCACATTTTCACAGACAGCCGCTCCTGGTACCAAGTAGCCTCTAAAGTCTCTGTAATCAGATCTCAGCAGGGAAAAATATCATGCTGGATATCTACTGTATACTGGACTGGGTAATGAAAGAATGAAAGGATGCCACATCGTTTGATGGAAATTAAAAATTATCAACCTACAGAGGGCTGAATTCAAAGACACCCCAAAAATCAAAGTGACCAAATGATGCAGCAGGCTAGTCCATTGTGCTGAAATTTCATTGCAGCAACTCCAAATGATACTAATTAGTTTGTATGGCCCCCATATGCTTGTATGGATGCCTGACAACATCGGGGCATGCTCCTAATAAGACAACGGATCGTGTCCTGGGGTATCTCCTCCCAGATCTAGACCAGGGCATCACTGAGCTCCTGAACAGACTGAGGTGCAACCTGGCGTTGTCGGATGGACCGAGACATAATGTCCCAGAGGCGTTCTATTGGATTCAGGTCAGGTGAGCGTGTGGGTCATTCAATGGTATCAATTCCTTCATCCTTAAGGAACTGGCTGCGTACTCTCACCACATAAGACCAGGCAATGTCGTGCACCAGGAGGAACCCAGGACCCACTGCACCAGCGTAGGGTATGACAAAGGGTTCAAGGATTTTATCAAGATACCTAAGGGTAGTCAGGGGGCTATTGTCTAGCCTGTAGAGGTCTGTGCATCCCTCCATGGATATGCCTCCCCAGACCATCACTGACCCGCCACCAAACCGGTCATGCTGAACGATGTTACAGGCAGCATAACATTCTCCACGATTTCTCCAAACCCTTTCATGTCTGCCACATGTGCTCAGGGTGAATCTGCTCTCATCTGTGAAAAGCACAGGGTGCCAGTGGCAGACCTGCCAATTCTGGTGTTCAATGGCAAATACCAATCGACCTCCACGGTGCCGGGCAGTGAGCACAGGGCCCACTAAAGGATGTCCCTCAGGCCACCCTCATGAAATCTGTTTCTGATTGTTTGGTCAGAGACATTCACACCAGTGGCCTGCTGGAGGTCATTTTGTAGGGCCCTAGCAGTGCTTATCCTGTTCCTCCTTGCACAAAAGGAGTAGAGACCAGTCCTGCTGCTGGGTTAAGGACCTTCTACGGCCCGGTCCAGCTCTCCTAGAGTAACTGCCTGTGCTTTGGAATCTCCTCCATGCTCTTGAGACTGTGCTAGGAGACACAGCAAACCTTCTGGCAATGGCACGTATTGATGCGCCATCCTGGAGGAGTTGGTATGCCTGTGCAACCTCTATAGGGTCCAGGTATCGCCTCATGCTACCAGTAGTGACACTAACTCTAGCCAAATGCAAAACTAGTGAAAAAAACAGTTAGAAAAGACAAGTAGGGAAAAAAATGTCAGTGGCTTCCACCTGTAGAACCATTCCTGTTTTGGAGATCTTCTCATTGTTGCCCATCTAGTGCACCTGTTGTTAATTTCATTAACACCAAAAGCAGCTGAAACTGAATAACAACCCCCTCTGTTACTTAACTGACCTGATCAATATCCCAGGAGTTTCATTGACTTGATGCTATACTTTGATTAAAAAGTGTTCCTTTAATTTGACCGGACTATAGCCTTGCAATTTATGTTAACATTTTTTGGGGACAGATAGATCTTTCTTTTGGAGGTATATAATCATCACTGGGGGGGGGGTTATTTTTTTTGACTATATAATGAAAAAAGTACCATAAATGTAAAAATAAACCAAAACAAAGTTTCCCTACGTTATGTTATAAAACATTTATTCTTACCCATATTTTTAGTAAAACGTAACGTCGGGTAAATAGACACCAAACATGTCAAGCCTTAAAATTGTGTGCGCCCGCAAAATCGCAAAAAATGCCCATAGGCGACGATTCAAACACTTTTACTGCTGATCAGTTTAGTGTTATCAGTGATTAATGGCTCTAAAATTATTGCTCTCACTCCGATTTTTACGGCGATATGTAACATGTGCGGCACAATAGGTGCAATCGTCGTTTTTGCATGTAGGCGCACCCAACGCATATCTGCGTGTGTATGTGGGGGGCGGAGACTTTAAAAAAAAAATTATTTTTACATTTTTTTATGCTTCTTTATTTTTTTTACTGATTCTTTAATTTTTGTATTACTTTTTTTTTTTTAGACACAACTTTATTGCTATTACATGAGGGGCAAAGAAGCCCCCTTTGTGATAGCCAATTTACATGACAGGTCCTCTTAATGGAGACATCAGGGGTCTCCAAGAAGAACTTTTGAGGTTGGAGCTGCTGCAGGACAAAACAAAGGTGAGTAGACCCTGTTGTATTAAAAAGGAAACTTCAGAATTGCTGATTTTATACGCAATAAGATTAGTAAAATGGAGTATTTGTCTAGAAAAAGTAAACATTCTTACAGATCTATTCCAGACCCTTTTGAAATCCAGTGGTTATTACATCACAAGAATTAAATGTAAGCAGCAAAAAGGAGGGCTACATTTTTTTTCAGGTCCCCTTTAATGCTCAGCATAGTCTTTTCTAAATTTACAAACTGCAGTTATTGAGAACGCTAGCAAAACAGCTTTAACAGCTGTTTACCGCCAATACATAAAACATTCTACCATCGATGAGTCATTCAGAATGTTTAGCACTTTGCATCCTATATAAAACATTTTACCATCAAGTCTGTCGAGTCCCCCCTGTAATCATCTTGTCTGGTGACATTTGAAAAGGAGCGTAGGGCTCCTGTGAGACGAGGTAAAACCATCTCTTTCTTATTCAGTGATCCATAGGATGAAAAATGGGATTTTGCTTTCTCCTGGAAGATCTGGAACGAAACAGGGGAGAAATGTTTTATAAGAGATACAAACAGAAAAGAAAACAAGTATGAAATAAAACCATTTTGCAGTGGGGAAAAAAAATCTTTAATTTGTGTTTGTAGAAAGGTATTAACAATCGGCAATGTTTATATAGATATACAAATACAACACAAGTAATTCCACACTACCCAAAAATAGCTACCTAGCTACCTAAAATAGCTACCTACCTAAAAATAGCTACCTATCAAGCTACCGAAAAACAGGGCTTCTTATTTTTTATTTTATTTTTAGTAAACAGCACTAGAGCTGCAGCTAACGATTAATTTTCAAAATCGATTAGTTAGCCGATTATTAAGTTTGATTAATCGGATAAACTATAAAATAAAGTTTAAAAAATGGCTCCAGAGATTAGTTGTTGCAGCCCTAAACAGCACCCTGATAATTCACTTACAGATGGACACAAATGGCGTGAATTGTGGCCCCAGAAAAAGACCAATCTGACACACCATATTTGGTATTGACCAAATAAAAGATGATCACTAACAGTCAAATACATTTTTTTTTTTCCATTATGTACATGGTAAGGATACAGAAATGTTAAAGGAGAACTATGGGGTTAGGGCTTTTCCACATAGTTCTCCAAAGGGTAACGGGCGGACACAAACTAGCGTCCTCCCGTCACCCTAAGCTCAGTATACCGCGAGCTACAGCCGCAGCTGAAACGGATCTGACAATTATGTCTGGATCCGCTCAGCTGCGTGAGTAACAGCTGGCTCTGCCTATCTAGAGGCAGAGCCAGCTGTACCCGCCCCCTCCCCCGTCCGTTCCGCCAGTCAGCGCTGGAGGATCGGAGCAGGGAGGGGGGAATCCAGTCCCTCCCGTCACGGCTCTGTGCCGTGACAAGATCAAAAAGTGAGCGAACGCCGGTATGTGTTAAGTCTTTTCCCCATAGTTCTCCTTAGGGTAACGGGAGGACACAAACTAACGTCCTCCCGTCACCCTAGGCTCAGTTTACAGCGAGCTGTAGTTCGTGGTATACCGAGTCGCTGCAGTATACCGCGAGCCGCTGCTCACGGTATACTGAGACGCCGCAGCTGAAGCGGACCCCGACAATTGTGCCGGGATCCGCCCAGCTGCGTGACTGACAGCTGGCTCTGCCTATCTAAAGGCAGAGCCAGCTGTACGCGCCCCCGCCCCCTCCCCCGTCCGTTCTGCCAGTCAGCGCTGGCGGATCGGAGCGGGGAATCCAGCCCCTCCCCTGTCACGGCAGAGAGCCGTGACAGGATCGAGAGGTGAGCGAACGCCGGTATCTGTTCGCTCACTTCCCGATCTACTGAGCCGACCTGTGACAGTCTCATTGTCACAGGTCAGCTAGAACTATGAGGTGAGTGGAAATCACTCACCTAATAGTTCTCCTTTAAAAAGAAGAGGCATCATTCACTGTAATCCACAGCCTGGGAGTATACTGTTAACGAGTGATTGGGAGGTGCAAAAACCATATCAAGGTGCTTCCAATCTTCATATAGAAACAACACAAAATGTTGTGAAGGGAAGGTTTTTGAGGCCTTAGGCGCCCCTGTGTGACCCAAGGACAGATACAGCACTGGTAGAAGCAACAGTAATTTTGTATCAGACAGAGTTTGCACAGGCGAAGGCTTGCAAGGGGCTTGTACACAAGCAGATCAGGCACTAAGACAGCAGGGGAAGGTGCAATAGTGCACTTGTGGCTTCTGCTATCAGAGATTAAATGGGAAATCTGTGATATAAAGTCATGCATGAGTGTAGTAAAAAAAAAAAAAAAAAACCTCCTCTGAGAGGGGAGCAAGCCCAGCAACACCTGCACTGCACTGGAACACACAGCATTGCGGGACTGCGGGTGGGAGGTGCATTTGGGGTGCCATTTAAATGAATGGCAATGCAACACACCTTACACACCAGAATTTGCGGTAGGTGCAATTTTGTGCGGTACAGTGTGTTAATCACATGGGACTGTGCGATTAACGCACTGTACTAGTGTGAATGGACCCTCAAAAACACTAACAGACACACACAACCACAGACATAATCTCACACACTCAGACATTTTTACCCACAAATACAAACTCCCCAAAATATTGGTTTTGTTTTTTTAAGGCCCACCCAGTCTCACTATCTTAGGAGAACTGGAGTGGATCCTCAGCCTGCGTGGGCTGCTGTGCTGTGATGGAGCTGCATCCATATGTGCATTGCTTGTACAGCACCCTTGCATGGCCTGTAGAGGTGTCGGGAGCCAGAATGTGACGCTACTCTGGTCCAGGCACCTCAACAGGACACGCGAGGGAGCTGTAAGCAATGCATGTATTGATGGAGCTCACTTTCAACCATAGCCCCATCCCACCCCACCTCAAGCCGTCACTTGGCACCGATGCGAGAACTGACAGTGCTGCACTAGGGTGAGACTGAAGAGCCTCTCACCTAGAAAAGTGGAAGGCATGCAGTGACCCACTGAACACAAGGCCGCAACCCACTTTGGGTCACAACCCACCAGTTGAGAACCAAGGCTTTAGAGGCTTCAATGCAAAAAAAATAACAATAAATGCACATTTTTTTCTTTCATGAATGTGTGCGCATTTATTTAATTTTCTTTGAAAAGGGTGGACTATGTTCAAACAAAATACCAAAAGAACATCTATGCTCGCCAAAAATATAATGCAATGTTTACTCGACTATTAACCTGTAAGTGAACAGTGCACAGAATACACTTCTGAGTGTAGCGGGGTAACGTGGCCACGTCAATGTAAAAACAGAGCTGTCACCAAAAAAACAGGAATAAATTCTGCAAGTTAACAAGTCAGCAAGAATGTAACACTTTCCTGATGCTGGGATCTTGACTTACAAACACGCAGGAAAAAGTTTCTGGCTAGTAGTAATGGCTGAATTGTTTTGGGCAAGTGAAGCAGTGGTGATGCATGTGTTGTCAACACTGAGAAGTGGGGAAACGAAAGGTGACAGAGTGAAGGGTGGAAAAATTGGATTTCAGTTGTTGTCATATTAAGCTTGAGGCAGCTGGATCCTATCCAGCAGGAAACAGAGAAGGGACTGAAATATGAGCCATGACCTGTAAAGGTGAGCAAAACGAAAGATGGTAGGCATTTTGATATTATTAATAAGATATGTACAACTCAGCCAGCAAAAGAAAAAAAAAAGCTAATAAAAAACAATGAAATGTTTTCTTAAAAGAAAATTAATTACCAAATGTATGTTTCCTCCCAGCAAACAAAGCTGCAATCCATGTTTGCTTTGTGGAGAATGTATGAATACTGAAACAAACAGAATCTGGAGCAATTGCACATAGTACCCAATCAGCTTTTCTCTTCAGTTTGTTTAGTTAAGCTTTGAAAACGAAAGAGAGAAGCTGATTGGTTGCCAGGCACAGCTGCTCCAGAATCTGTCTGTTTCAGTTATCGTAAATTTCCCTCTTTAAATTTTTATGCGTACGCAATAAGACCCTCTACCTTAAAAAAAAAAAGGGGGGGGGGGAAGGAGCTGCAGCCACAATGCACTTTCCTTCACACTACATCTTCATCCCCTATAAGCCCACTTAAGAATAGTGATGACCTGGGACTCGTGTGAAACCAGTTCGCCCAAGTCCATTCAAAACTGTAAACAACACCCCCCTCCCGGGCCAATTGGCACATTCCCTTCCCCGCAGCTACACCTCACAAAGGGGCAGAGAATGTCCCTGCCGCAACTGATTGGGCGGGGTCGTTCAGAGTTTTGAGCAGGCTTGGACGAACTGGGTTCATACTAAGCTCCAGCTCAAGAAGCAACCACAAAAAAACAGATATCAGTGTACAATTAAAAGGTTACGTAACCTTTCTGCACATTTTCCCCAAAAATTTAAGATGCTTTTTATTACCCCCAGCACATTGCAAAGTACAGTTCAGATGTGAAAAAAGCTGCTCCTATCCCACTGCATACCAATAGGTCCTGCATGACCTCCAGGTGGTTGACGACCCCTCCATCCTGGCTAAGTGCCAGGGTGGGCCAGACGCTAAAAGTGTGCCCCCAGCCTGTTCAAACTGTGCCCATGCGCAGTGCCCCCGCTTCCTCGAGCAGCAGTGGCTGAGTTCAGCTTCCCAGATATAAGCTTCACGCCATACAGCAAATCACTACATTAAACAAAATCACGTGCAGTTAATGAATGTATATCGAGATGTGTTAGAGTGTGTTTTTGGCATTTACTTCACTGAACTTCTTAATATGCACTGTGAACACTATCCCTGAGAGAACACACTTGTCAGGTCAGATCAATTTCCTATACCATCTATTCTAAAATGCACCTGAGCACTCTGTAATACATCTGAATCCTTTGTGATACATGAAAATGCAGGCAGCTCAACCTTTAATGACTGCATTGCAACTTAGTACTGTATTGGAAAGATGCATTAATAAACTATGGGCGCACATTTATTCTGTTGTGATGCATCAATGTGTGTTATTGCACACATTACCGTGCATTGGGTTAAGGCAGCATATTCATTAAGAATGGAAAACCAATGCACCACAATACTTAAAAAATGCATGTAATCATTTAATTAAAAACGCAGGGCACCACAACACATGGCATATGCATTGTGTCGTGCTCTATTGTACACAGCGCCGGGTTGCCATTTAAAATGAATGGCACCTCCAAAGCACTGCACATACAGAAGGTGTGTTGCCATACATTTTGGTAACATGCATTAACGTGTAGTTTAGCACAATGCCACAATGCTCAAGTGTGGATGAGCAATTCAGATTCTACATTCTACCATTCTGCTGTAAAATGAATGGCACCTCCAAAGCACTGCACACACAGAAGGTGTGTTGCCATGTGTTGTGGTGACACACATTAACATGTATTTTAGAACAATGCTCAAGTGTGACTGAGCCCTTCCGATTCTAAGTTCTACCATTCTGCTGTAGTGAAAACAAAAAATGCAACAAAGGCACACTGCAGTGCAATTAGTGACAATGGTTCTTCTCTTACAGGGTACTGCAGGTACAATTTTGGAGACAAACACAAAATCACTGACGCCATCAGCAAAATATTGTATTGTTATTGCAATGTGTGCATTATTAATAGATATGACGATAGTATTCAGGGTACTAATTCCTTTTTGTTTAAAACCTTTATATTTTTCTCCACATTTACATTGTGGGACATGCAGTATACAAATTTAAAGTTATATTAAAGTCAAAATAATTGTAAGCTATTTCAAATGCTGATGAAATCACTTACAATGGATGCTGCTCCTACATGTTCAAATGTTTAATTTCCTGCAGAATCAGCTGGTCCCCTCAGCACTGGCCCTTATATTCTGTTTTCGGGTGTCTCATTTCCCTTGCAGGGTCCCATTAAGTCACCCTTGTGTGTGCTAGTAAGCTGTGTCTCCAGACACAGCAAAGCAATCCACTTTTCGGCTACCTACTCCAAGTTAATACATGTACAGCTGCTGGAGACTGCTCTGTCCCTTTTGATATTTTACTGAACAGGAAGTTCAAGGAAGCAGAGCTGAGAGAGTTGGAGCCAGCTGTTTGGACACATGATGACTATAAGTGCTTGGGCAAAAATCTAAAGAAATACATTGATGGGCAATGTATACTTGTTTGATCTGGATTCATTGTAGAAATAAAGATAGAGAGGTCATACTACTTTAACATTGTTCCTTTTTGTTTCAAATCTTATATTTGTAAATAAATACCAAGAGTGTTTACAACTTCATGATTCCATCAGTAACCTCTCCATCTAAAGATGTTAGTTGCCTGGCTGTTACACTGATCATCTGCCTCCAATATTTTGAGTCACTGACATGGAACAAGTATGCAGATAAAGCTTCAGACTTTGCTCTTACATTCCTGATCTGCATGCTTGTTCTTGGTTGTTGTCTCTGAAAACATTGAAGCCAGGGGGTCAGCATAACAGGCAGGTAGGTAGCAAATGATCCAACATATTGCTTAAACTACTGAAGCTCCCCTGGCAGACAAATGTTCCAGCTGTCTAAGATAGGATATTCCTGCACTTTGGAGTGATCTCCTTTTACTTCCGGTTGTGTCTTTGGGACAGGAAATCTCCCTAAGGATGTGTTCACACCATAAACAGTGCATTCCACAGCAGTCAGCTGCAGGAACACACTGTATCACATTCCGGCTGGCTTCCTGCGTTCAGGGGCGGGAGGGGACATATTGGTGCATTGAAGTCAATGGCAGCGCAGCCATGCCCCCCGCCTGCAGTGCGTTCGACCCACACCAGAACACGTGGTACATTAGTGTTTGCGTTCCAGTCCAGTCTGATCTGAAAAAAAAACTGCAAGCACTATTTTGTCAGATCGCACTGGAAAGGAACGCAGGCTCTGATGTGACACATGTTCTGGTGTGGGCAATCACACTGCGGACTGGGGGCGTGGCTGCGGTGCCATTGACTTCAATGCATTACCAAGCTCCCTCCCGCCCCTGAATGCCGGAAGCTAGCTGGGATGCGATAAAGTGCGTTCCAGCAGCTGACTGCTCTGGAACACACTGTTTATGGTGTGAACAAGCCCTAAAAGGTATACAGCCAGAAATCAATAACTGGTCTTAACCACTCCCTAAAAAAAAAGAAAAAAGTTTTGAAATACACAAGTACATCCAAACTCTACACTTTCAGGTAGGGCGGGAGAGAGTTAAAACTGCTTTCAGGTTTTTTTTTCCCCCATTTGTGTCATATGGTGAAATTCCCCTGCACGTCCTGTCCTGTCCATGCCTTAGATAGTTGCCATGGGAAGGAGTGTCCTTTTTGGAAGATTTCCCCTCTATTCCTGTTCTGGTGGCAACTCATAATTGTGGATTTACCCATCACTTTCATTCATGGTGATATTGGGGTTTAGGACAATTAGAGAGAGGACTCTCCCTAACAGGGACACACACAGCGATGAAAACTGGACCGTAATTCTAACGCCTCACCACTCCATCCAAATCTAAGGAAATAGTTTTGCCTTGAGTTATACTTTAAAGTGACACTAAACTCAGAAGCTAAATCTTAAAAATGCATTTAAGTACCTTAACTGTTGACAGTTATTTGTGTATCACTCGGCTACAGATCCTCAAATCATCTGTGAATTGGTGCGGACACTATCTTTCCTTCCGGAGGGTGGCTACTTTTGTTCCCCATGGTCCCTATGTGTGTTGTAAAGTAGCCACCACTCCAAGCTCGCTCCCTTGATGGACTACAATCTCAATACAAATTAGTAAAGTAAAAATGAGATTGTAGATCATCACAGTAAAGAGTTTGGAGCGGTGGCTACTTCACAACACACACAGGGACAATGGGGAACAAAAGTAGTCATCCTCCAGAAGGAAGGACAGTGTCAGCACCAATTCAGAGATGATTTGAGGATCCACAGCCGAGTGATACACAAATAAGATAAATTTTTGTTATTAGTTAAGGTACTTGAATGCATTTTTTTAATATTTAACTCCTGAGTTTAGTGTCACTTGAACTGGGAGAAATAAAAGGGCTGTCAGTACTGGCCATCTAACACATCATTAACACTGGTATATTTGGTCCAGCAGTGGATTCCTGCAGTAAGAATGACAGATGGCTGTGAACAGCCTGTACAAAGCAATGACAGGCTAAACACAGCCTCAGCTATCTGCTGCTACTCAAATGTATCTGCATTTACCTGCGGCTAAGGACAGATGTCCAACCCTGGATGCAATCTGTCTGTTTCCAGGTCCAGCTAATCTGCCCCTAGCAGCAGGTAACAACTGGATGTGTGCATACATTTGAATACCAGCAGATACCCGAGGCTCCTGTTAACCTGTCTTTGCTTTGTACAGGCAGAGCAGCCACAGCTGTCAGAATCACCTGTGATCCCAGTCCCAAGAACCCCTCCACTGCAACCGATCAAGCACAGGATTGGGCTTGGTCATCCGTTTATCTGGCAATCTGACAGGTCTGAGCCCGGAATGCTGACAAACCCAGTACTTCATGCGTCAGTGATCACAGAGCAGATCAGGAACCAGACATCCACATACAGGTATGCACAAGTGATCAGGTGACTCTATGGCCATTTAGATCACTTTACAGAGTAGGTGGGAAACTGCTGAACAAAATGTCAGCAAGTACACAGCTGCCGCTGCTGAAGCCATTAACTGCATTAAATGTTTAAAGTCCAAAGCGGTTATTATGATCGTTTGGCACTCATCTATCGTATAATCAGCATGACTGCCAGGCAACTAGCACTTCCTGATGGAATCAGCCTCTTTATTCTCCTGTACAGGTCCTCTTTAACTAAAGGATTATACAGTGTGGTAGTCCTGTCACTTCTATGTGGCTTGACAACACTGACAAGATGGAATTCCCCTTCTAAGCCATGCTGATGTTCTTCCTATAAGCATGAAGCAAAGCAGAAGAACAAAAGTGTAAAGTTGAGAGAGGCGAGAGCAGGCAGCTCTAAACATGTTACATACTGGGCTATTATGTTTATTAATGTCTCTGCTCTACACACTACAGTACAATGTAGCCGAGGCGAGCTGCACTTGCACAGCGCCGGTCAGTTCACTTACCCAGGCAGCATCTGATGGTGAGTGATGTAACAGGCAGCCAATCAGAAGACCGAACAGCAAAGAACGCCGGGTCGGCTTGAGTCGCTTCGCTTGTCGCGAACATGTGACGTCACGAATCCGCGTGCGTGTATTGTGTAGTAACATGTTCGGATAGTTCCTGGTTGTGTCCGGGTGCGCGCAAACGAATGTCCTCGTCAGCCCGTGCAAGGAGAGCGTGAACGAGCGTGGAGGGGCGCGGGGCCGCTCCCAGCCTGTGTCCCGCACTTGGTGACCCAGGAGAATGCCTTAGTTTGACTTTGACGCAGAGGGAGTTGCAATGGTGTTAATCTTATATTCGAAGTCGTTGCTGCTAGATTTGTTTGCTCATTAGAGCTTAGCTACCGAATGTCCCTGATTCGGAGGGACTGTCTTTCTTTTTGGACCCAAATCCCTTTTTCCTCATGTATCCCTTTTTGATAATTTGTAAACATAAAATGTACTATTTAAAGAGAAAATAAACTGTTGTGTAAAGGGTGAGGTTTTACTATAATGTGCAAGTACAAAGCATGCATGTACATTAGCCCCATTTGCACCTGATCGTTTCGTAAACCTGCACAAAAATGTGCGCTTTGACGCGTGTTTGTGAAACTCATCAAAAACCTGACACATGCTGTGCCATTATCAGTTAAAGGAGAACTATGGGGTCAGTGTTTTTCCCCATAGTTCTCCTTAGGGTAACGGGAGGACACAAACTAGCGTCCTCCCGTTACCCTAAGCTCAGTATACCGCGAGCTACAGCTTGCGGTGTACTGAGACGCCGGAGCGGATCCCGACGTAGATGACGGGATCCGCCCAGCTGCGTGAGTGACAGCTGGCTCTGCCTATCTAGAGGCAGAGCCAGCTGTACCCGCCCCCTCCCCCGTCGGTTCCGCCAGTCAGCGCTGGCAGATCGGAGAGGGGAATCCAGCCCCTCCCCCTGGCACAGCAGAGAGCCGTGACAGGATCAAGAGGCGAGCGAACCCGGTATGTGTTCGCTTACCTCCCGATCTACTGAGCCGACCTGTGACCGTCTCATTGTCGCAGGTCGGCTAGAACTATGAGGTGAGTGAAAAGCACTCACCTCATAGTTCTCCTTTAATGCAAGGCTTAAAATTTCAAGTCTAGACCTACTAACCAGGCAAAAACCTTACTCTCCACCAGTTGTCCCACCAAACCTTGCCCAGGTCCGCCTCCAAACCCTGCCCCCAACCACGCCCCCTTAAAGCTTATGAAATTACATTTTTCTTTAGAATAAAGAGTCCAAAATATAAAAAACAGCAATTATAACATAGCTTTAGCTTTATATTATGTTAACAGGGTGCAGATAAGATACCACAGTCAAAACTGGGGGGGCACTGATCATTTTCACCACTACCATATGAGCATGTGTGTATGGGCAGCGTGCGACCGCTTCTACTGTAAGGTTGTACGACTTTTGTCTTCCAAGCACGCTGGAAAACCTGCCGAAAATCGTACGATTTTTGGTGGCGTGGTTGGAAAACGAATGCCGCACGAGCCGGTGTGCCCACTCAGCACTGCAATCATCGGCAGCGGGGAGGGCTTGCGATGATCGCAAGTACGATCTGCCTGTCCAAGATGGGCAGATTGTATGAGATTTTAATGACCTTACAACCATCGCACAACGAAAGTCGTGCGATGGTTGTAAGGTGTAGTGTATGGCCAATTTAAAGCACAATAATACACTGCTCAACAACGTTACACCTCCCCCGTCCACACATAAAATAATACACTCCCCCTTATTAACCCCCACACATAAAATAATACGCACCCCCCCCCCTAAAATAATACGCTCCCCCTTATTAACCCCCCCACACATAAAAAGGAAGCCAGAACTGACAGGAGCTGCTCTGCTCTCAAAGCCCTGAGTTAATGGCACCCCAAATGTTTTCCCCTGTATTTGCACACAATAAAACGCGGAACACATCTCGCAGATTTTGCTACGTCCACTTCTTTTCCACCTTTGATGCATGTGCAGGAACCCATTAAAGCCAATGAGGATGGTTGGCAAAAACAGGAGCAAAACACTCACAAATGCGATGTCCATTCCCGGTACACCTAGGTGTGAATGGGGACTTGTGGCACACTTACCTTACAAGTGGTCCTTTCTTCAGAGCTGTCAGATCAATCTTTGGTCTGTCCACCACCACCACTTCAAGGTTCTGTGCAATTCCAAACTGACCATTGGGCCGCCACTGATGATGTAACACATACACACAGCAGATACACCCTCTCCAACGCTTGGCCCATTCACCGCATCTTAGAGATTGCGTGAATGGATGGAGTGTGCACACAGCCCTTTCGCCGTACAGTGTACACAATAAATAAACCAGGAATATAGGGCGAATTCGTTTGGCAGAAGAGACTATGCGTGTCAAAAATCCCTTTTCAGGCCTGAAAAATGTATCAAAGCCCCCTCCCATTTTATTTTTTGAAAGCAGAGACCCTGTAGAATAAAATGGTGGCAGTTGCATTTTTTTATGTCACACAATAATAGTGCAACAGTTTATCAAAGTACATTTTTGCATAAAAAAATGCATTTCAATTAATATTAGTGCATACAAACACAAAACAATGCCCATTTCTACTTTGTGAAATAAAACAGACGAGGTTAAGCCTTGAGATTGTGTGCGCCCGTGCAGCAGCAAAAAAAATTTGGGTCCCTAAATTGTCCATAGTTGACATTCTAAAAGCCTGTACAGGTCATTAAGAGTTAATAATGGCCCTGGAATTATTGCACTCGTGCTTGACCAACTTCTCCCCTGGCCTCTGTGGCTAGGGAATGACAGCTCAGAACCCAGAAGTGACTAAATCATTGTCGCTGATTCAGTGTGGAGGAGATGAGGGAAAATATGTTTGCTGGTCTCCCTACGCTCTCTACACCAATACCAGTGTTGCTGGCCCTGGACCCGCAGGAGGGGAAGAGGAGCCCAGAAAAGATGGTGGGAGGTGTTGGATGGGGAAAAGGGGGCACACGTGCAGGGAGTGTAGAAGTGAACTGCCTATATCACTTATACATGAGAGCCCACAGTTGGCAGAGGCAGTGTAAACAGATGTGATCACAGCTCCCTGCTGCTACAGACGTAGTACTTAAATGCATGGCTACAAAAGAGTTAAAGTTACACTAACCCTAAAAATACATTCAAGTACCCTAACTATTAACAAAAATGTATCTTATTTGTGTATCTCTCAGCTGTAAACCCTCAAATCATCTCTGAATTCTTAGTGACATTTTCCTTCCTTCTGTAGGGTGGCTACTTTTGTTCCCCTTTATCCCTGTTTGTGTGTCTTGTAAAGTAGCTATTCTTGACATTCCTGCTCAAAAGTAAACATGACATTCTCAGCTGTCAAATACTACACAACATTCGGGAACTCCCGAATGCTATTCGTGAATTCCCGAATGCCTAACAGACCCAAATGGCATAGCTGACCCTAAAGGGTCTGGTATGAATTGGGGGGGAACCTCACGCTTTTTTTTTCCTCTTCTGCAAACTGTAAAGAAGAAAAAAAAGGTTTTTTTTTCCCCAATGCCACTTTGCTGCAACGAACAAAACGAAAATGCAAATACATTTCGTCCAGACTACCGCTAACAAATTTTGTCTGAATCCAAATCCTGAAAACGAATCGAATTTCGGACCCGAATCCCAAAAAAAACGAAAACATTTTTGCCAATGCACATGTCTACTCTCTCATATTGTGGGACAGCCAATGAGAGATGCTATAGTGTATGTACAGTACAGCAGCCAATCACTGGGTTTCTCTCAACCAGTAGTGCATGCTGGGATAGGGTACATATACAGGAGGGATTTGTCATGTGCTCAGACTAGCCTGGACCAGCCATTGAATAGGGCTGGTTGCTGTTCAGCCTGGCCCCCGGACTAGGCCTAAGGCCTAGGGATGGGCATAGGCTGATGTGAGGGAAATGTTTCCCTGGGGCCTCCAACATGGAGGATGTCTGTGTTGCTGTCGGAGGAAGAGACCCGGGACCAATGATGGCTCTTGAAGTTTCCTGGAACCTAAGAACCAGAGCATGGCTGGTGTCTTTCTTGTTGGGGATCTGTGTTCATTCTTGCTCATCTGCTAGTTTGCTAGTTCAGTTGCTATCCGCTGCCTACCAAGTGGATCTACAGTGATGTGCCAACCGGGTCTGGTGAGTCTGGAGTCAATTTCTGTTACACCCTGGAAGCTTAGAAACCCTATACCCTCTCTCCCCAGTGAAGACGTTCAAAAAAGTTATTCAGCATTATATTACTGGAGTGGACTTCAGCTTCTGTGGGCACTAGAAGAAGGGCGGTTAATGCTAATGAGTGGGCAGCTGAAGAGCATACCCTAGACAGACTAGAGATGAACTGGGCATTCAGCGGCTCCTCGGGGGTGAGCACTACATATGTTAAAAATAAATGAATTCTATGTTAGATTCCACACCACATTTAAGTATACTATACGGGTGCAGTATATCTGTATTGATGCAAAATTAGGCTACAGCTACAATTATTTTACCCAATTCTGTAGCAATGTCAGGTTTCTGTAGAGTCTGTATACTCACTAACCATTACGCAGTGGTCTAATAATAATCCAGAGATTGTTGGTTTGAGTCCCACTTGGCGTTCTGCTTATATCATATGCTGTTTAGCTTGATGAAGAAACCTAAGCTGTCTTTAAAGTTTTAAAATGTAATCTGCTCAATTAGCTGCTTGCTAATGCTCACATAATTCCACATTTTCTAGTGAAACCCTTGAGGGGCAGTTCTTTATCCCATAGCAACTAACTAGGAGGCATATCAGCGTCCAGATAAATTACTTTGGATTACCTTACTTTGGAACTGATTTAATGGTAAAGCTATACTTAAAGATTTTACAGATCTTCGACTTGAGAAGTATCCTAACTCTTATTCTTCATTACTTAAAATGACCACTTTTCTCCAAGTTCCAGCTGATCTTGTACTCTTAAGAAAAAGAATAATTATTTGTGCTGAAATATTTATAAAAATAATCC